CGGCCAGCACGTCAGCGGAGCCGCGCGCGCGCCCGGCTGCCCCTCGGACGCACGCGCGAACGTGGGGCCTCGCTGGGCAGCGTGTTGGGAAGGAAGCCTGGCTTTCCCTGCTCCAGTTCGGATCCCTCCACCCGGGCCTTCTAGTCCCCAGCCATGCTGCCGTCTGTCCCTCACCACGTGGCACCCATAACTGCCTGTTAACCCGTGCACCTCCCTTGGGGGAGGGAGGGCGGACCGAAGCCCTGCCTTCCTACCACGCCATTTGTGTGCTGGGTGAACGGCAGAGCTGCGCCGCTTACCTAGGGAAAAGAAGAGGGAGCAGCTTTTCCTGTTAGTTACGGGAAAAGTGACCAAATGGCTCTGGCTTCCAGATGTTTATGGAGAAGAGAACATGCAACAGCTCACAAATCAGCCGGCAGCAACTTTCTCGTGCCAGGCACGCTTGTGAGAACTAGAGGCAGTCAAAGGTTATATGTCTTAGTGTCGGCAGCAGGTAATAGACTAGCCAGAAGTGAAAAACAAGAAAACTTCAGGAACTAGTAAAAGCTACCATGAAGTCAAAGTAAGGTCTTCGAGTTGGGAGTCTTCAGCAGCTGCTTTAGATTAAGTGGAAGAAAAGGCTCAAGAAGGAAATGTTTAACTGAGACCTGTGTTTTGTAAGGAGTCAGCCACATGGAGTCTGGGGAGAAAGAAGTCCAGGCAGAGGTGGTGGCTGGGAGGAAGGAGTTGTGTTGGTAGCCAGGAAGAAGGCTTGCTACTGTTGAGGAACCAGCAAGCCTGTCCTCTTGTGGAGGAGGAGGAGGGCCGGGGCAAATCGAGTACACAAGTTCAGGGGAGAGGGTTTGACATGAGCTTTAAGATGGTGTGGAGATTAGGGGAACCATTTAGGGATTTTAAAGGAAAGTGAGATGACCTAAATTAAAGAATGGATTCTAAGAGATGGAGAGTAGGACACTAGTTAAGAAGGTATTGCAGCTTGAGTTAGCGTGAATAGAGGAAATGGAAAGAAGGGGGAAATTTGGGTTATTTTGGAGAGAAATTTCAGTTTATTCATGGGTTAGTTGAGGAATAGAAGGATACAGGATGACCACTAAGTTAAGGGCTTGGGTAAAAAGAATATGTCACTGAGTTGCAGCTAGCTGTTGGAAGAAGTAGGAAATCACAGTTCTGTTTTGAACATTAATTTTGAGTTGCCATTGGACATCCAAATGCACACATCAGATTGGCAGGCTAGCTATGTCAACACAGAGTTTCATGGAAAGGTTGGGGTAAAGAGAAATCTGGGGGCTGGGGTGTAGCTCAGTGGCAAAGTGCTTGCCTAGCAAGTGTAATGTCCTCGATTTGATCCCCAGTACCAAAAAAAAAGGAATACAGTTTTTTAAAAAAGAGAAATTTGGTACTCCTGAGCCATTAGAGCTTTAATGAATTTCTAGATAGAGGAGAAACAGTGTGGTCTTACTGAGCCAAAGGCTTTAGGAACAGTGTGGTTAACATGGTCAAATATTCTGAGAGGGAAGATGGAGATTGAGAAGTAACCATGGTATTTGTCAACAGGGAACTTTTCTGTGAACTTGACAGCCACACCAGTTGCTTTGAGATAGTGCTACCTGACTCCCATATACAATAACTAAGGACAGCATCAAGATACACTGTAAGCATACATTATTGTAAGCATACACTGTAAGCACGGACTATTCTTTCCAGGAGTTTTGCTAGTATCATCTTAATGAAGAACATAATATCTTTGGGCAAATCTCTCAACTGAAAATGGGTGGCATATGAATTAAGTGCTTTACCACAAGGTGTCACTATTTACGGGCTTTAGTAAGTTAAATAATTGCAACATATGCATATGTTGTATTAAGGAAATGTTATTTACACACACACACACACACACACACACACACACACGAGGGCCAATTAGAAGTTAGTTATATTGCCTAGAGGTTTCCTTTCAAAAGCTCGGTGGAGTCCACTTGAGAAATATGCATAATCCAAAGACCAAGGTTCTGGATTTATAACTTGAAGACTGAGATCAGATATAGGTTCTCACTCACTTGTGTGACCACATATAACATTTAAGTTATTTTTTGTTAGGTTAAACCCAAATACAATCAATATTACCTTATCCATCTCAACTATTTCTGTGCCTCAAAGGGAAAACGGGTATAACAGTGTTCATAAAATTGTGAAGTGCTATGTAATTATGAGATTTTAAGAACTTGATAGATATCATTTATGCCCATCTCCATAGCAATTTAGATTATTACACAAAAATTGTATTAGTGAGAACTCACAGTTGCTTATGCTGAGAGTCCACTTTGACCTTGCTGGCAGAGGGGGATGTCTAGTAATTTTAGGGGTCATTCAGGTGTGCCCAGGAGCAGCAGTATTGTGCTTGAGACACAAGCATCACCGGAGTCAGGAATCTGATGATGACCTTGGTCCTTCATTCCTCTTTGCTTTTGTCTACCTGATGCCTTTATTCTGATTGGCTACAACTTGCTTCCCCTACTACATGGGGAACATTAAAATACTATGTAGACTGCAGGAGACCACGGGTCATGCTCCATTATCCTACAGGTTAAGGTGAGAACCAAGTAGACTAAGGTTGAATTGCATGTTATAGAATTATCTTGTTTTATGATTTGTGAATTCACAAAAGCCATCATCAGTTAATACTAACCTTCAACTTCTTAAAAAAAACTCAGGAGCTCTGGAATACATAAAACCTTTTGAGTTCTACATAGCCCTTTAGGAATATATAAATACACATACATATATATGTATACGTATATATATTACAGTATTATATATAACTATGTACATATTACAGTATTATGAGGCTTATGCTCTATTTCTTTTAAACTCTCAAATGCTAATTGCTTGTGATAAAACTTAAATAGAGCTACCAACATTTTTCTATTTATGCATTTATTTATCATAACTTAATTATTTGTGAAGTCTCATCTGAAAATTCTCCCTAGCTGGATTCCCTTAGCATGAAGCAAATGGAAGTTTCTTTGAATTTGCTTACACTGACTGCATGGGATCTCTCCTCTTAGCACTGAGGTTACATTGGTATTCAGACTCTAGTGGTGAAGTCTCCTGTCTGCCACAAGGGAAATATTTCAGTGATGGTGCTCTTACCTGATAGTTTGGGGCTACTCACTCTATGCCTTCAGATATCTGAAAATACTGGTAACATTGTTGACTGCACTTTTTTGTATGCATGACTGCTTTCAATAAGGAACATATAGGACATAACTAGGGTTTTAAAATATATTCAAGGACACTTGCTGAAATTATCTGCCTTCATCCCTGGAATTATTTTGAAAGCCAAGTTTGGAGAGTCCTGGTTTAAAATGTCATGAGTTGAAGTTGGAATTGTGGCCAAGGTGGTAGAGATCAGGCATGACTCATTTCATGTGAAAAGTCTCACACACTTTCTGCACTCTTGACATTCTGCCATTGCCATGGTTTCCCTTTTAGTTTGCCAAGGCTGCTGGAACATCTGTTGGCAGCCATTGAGCCAGCGAACCTCACGTTCTGTTGTCTTCCACCTGGGACTTGTGAATGTTGTTAGTATCCATGCTTGCACTCAGTATATTCACTGTGTACATAGAATGTTATGGTTAGAAATGGAACATATCTGTTTCTTAGAGAATAATTTCATCAGATAATCTATAATTTTCTTTTGATCTAAGAAATTCATGACTCAATTCAGTAAGAGATTCATTTTTTAAGGTCACAGAAGTCCAAGAATCATAACCCTTATAGTTATTATTGCTGTTTAACTAGTCTCTACCCCAGAATTAGTAGCCAAAATGAACTGTTGAGAGTTCTTTAGAAGAGCAAAACCAATACTGTGTGTGTGTGTGTGTGTGTGTGTGTGAGAGAAAGAGAGAGAGAGAGAGAGAGCTGATTATTATAAAGAATTGGCACATCTCTTTTCTAGGGGCTGGGAGATTCCATGATCTCCATCTGAAGGCTTGGAGATGCAGGAAAGCTGAGTGTGAAGTTCCATTCTGAGCCAGAACCAGTGATGGGGTAAGTTCCAGTCCAAGGGCAGGGGATACTAATGTCCCAATTCATGCAGGCAGAGAAAAAAAAATCCCTTTTACCTAACTTTTGTTCTATTCAGCCTTACTAGACTGGATGAGTTCCAACCACATTGGAGAGGGTAATGTGCTTCAGACACTGATTTAAATGTTAACTTCATCCATCATCATATCCAGAATAGCATGTATACAAATATCTGGGCACCCAATGCCCCAGTCAAGTTGATACTTAAAATTAACCAGTAACTGTTTGTTGTGCTCGCAGTGTCTTTCATGTCTGGGACCTCAGGTTAGTAAGACTCAAGTTAGGAACTACAAACATTTGGAATTTTTCATTCCTTGAAGGGTGCTTGAGTATTAGGATAACTAAGAACAATCTCCAGCTCGGTCAGCTCTCCCCTTCAGGGAGAAGAGTGTCAAAGGAACTTGTGGCCACATTTTCTTTTTTTATTATTATTATTTTTTTATTTTTATTTTTTTATGGAGTCATAGCAGTTGTCTATATGTTGCCACAAATATGTTATGTGCAGTTTAAATGAGACCAACTGCTGCTAATTTAAGTTTATAGGAACATGGGGCTGGAAAGGTGGTTCAGTGGTAGGGCACTTG